CAAAAGTTGTGTTTTGAAATTAAAAGTTAATTGAATGGTATTTGTTTTCTACTTATTTTTGAAAGGTTCGGTATAATATACCATTTATAGACCTTTCACTCGGGGTATTCCACAAAAAATTACCCTGCGGGATGAAATATTCCTCGGGCTTCGCCCTCGGAATATTTCATCCCTCAGGGTAATTTTTTGTGGAATACCCCTCGTTTCAGGTCTATAACTGATAAATATACTATACTATATACTATATACTATATACTATATACTATATACTATATACTATATACTATATACTATATACTATATACTATATACTATATACTATATACTATATACTATATACTATATACTATATACTATATATACTATAGGCTATACTATTAGTATCCTTGAGTCATTCGTATTCAACTATATCAAGCCTATCGTATTCAACGTAGGCTATACTTCGTTCGATTCCCCAAAATGATAATAGTTAACAGTTATTCTACGAACTCGAGTCGAATATGAGCTGATAGCCGATGAGGCGCGTAGCGCCGAATCGGCTATCGCTCATATTCGATGAGAGTGAGTGGAATAACTGTTTTATTATATACACAAGGTCTGAATTCATAGACTTTGCTTTTCGGATATTTTCAATATTTTTGTATTTTGTTTATGTTTTTAGCTTCGCTCTTTTGGCCGATATTTTTTGAAAAATATATATTTTCAACCTTTTTAAATTTTAAAAATTCATTTGCTAACCTGTAAACAATTGGTAGGAGATTTTTTCATTGTGTTTTTAATCCTGAAAGGGCTATAAAAAGCGAACAACTTGCCGTTTTCTCGTTCGAAAAACGTCGGAAATTCAGTTTGAGCCGCCATTTTGTTTTTCTCTACTAGCAGGATATGAGCTAATATCCTGCTGGTAGAGAACCAATCAGATTGCAGAATACCTCATATCCAGACCTTGTGTATATAATAATATTTCTTATATACACAATTAGGTCTGGATATGAGGTATTCTGCAATCTGATTGGTTTTCTGTTAGCAGGATATTAGCTCATATCTTGCTAGTAAAGAAAAACAAAATGGCGGCTCAAACTGATTTCCGACGTTTTGTGACTGACGAGAAAACGGCAAGTTGTTCTCTTTTTATAGCCGTTACAGGATTAAAAACACAATGAAAAACTCCCACAAATTGTTTCCAGGTTAGCAAATGAATTTTTAAAATTTAAAATGGTTAAAAATATATTTTTGAAAAAAATAATCGGCCGAAAGAGCGAAGATAAAAACATAAACAAAATAAAAAAATATTGAAAATATCCGAAAAGCAAAGTCTGGCGCCTCATCGGCTATCAGCTTATATTCGACTCGAGTTCGTAGAATAACTGTTATAATTAAATATCAATATGACAATATGAGTATAATTATATATATATATAGTTAATTCATTTTAAAACTTAACCCTTATGGTTACAAATGATGACTCAAGAAATGTGTTGAATGTCGTTCCAGGTTACTTCAGAGCTGGATTTCAGCAGAAAACATGAGATTGAGGGCAGGTTTATACGAGCGAATATCAAATGTAGCCAGGACAATGTGGTTAATGGCAACTTTCTTTCAAGCGACGTCTCTTCATGTGTGGCATTGAAGATAACGGGGAATATAACACGTATGTATGATTAACCGTAGGTTGGATGCCAACTCTCTCAGCGGGCTCAGTTGAATTTAATCCAAGCTTGAATTTAATCCATGTTTGCCTGTTTTAGAATGGCAGACGCACATGAAGGTTAATAGACGGTTTTAGACCCCGTTTACACGGTACCGGACGAATTTGTGACCGGACGAAAATTCGTCCGTTTCGGCCGTGTAAACACACGAGAACCACGGAACCGCACGAATTTGAGACCCCCTAACAGGACGAATTCGCGTGTAAACAGGCGAAAAAGGACGAATTTTCGTCCGGTCCCAAATTCGTCCGGTACCGTGTAAACGGGGTCTTAGATAACAAGACGCAGAAGTCAAGAGGACGTGGATGTCGTCATTTGGCGCCAACTATCGTCAGCTTCTGGTTTGCGACGTCGTCTTGGACTATTTCACAACGCGAAAATACAATTTTCACGTCCTCTCTAGAACGTCACAGATTTTTGCTTCTTTTGAAAAAAATATGAGACTATGCATAATAAAAATCATCCTATTTTGTTCCCCATGTATTGTTTAATAATACTAGCTAAAGTTTTTCCATTGACAAGGTTGTTTTTCTTGTATTCGCTAAATTTTAGACGAGTTGATTTTCGACAAATACTTTCGGTCGCCATAAACAAATCAACAAAACTGCAAGCATTGTTAATAACCACTTCACCGCTAGTAATCTTCACCAAAACAAATATTTTAGAACAAACTAAACTGAAGTTATATTAACAACTGTTTAAAATCAGGAAAACGTGGGAAAATAGAAAAATAAAAGCACTTAAAAGCAGTAAAAACTCAATCAATTTTAGTTGCTCTGTCACAACAGTCAACAGTGCAAAAAGTAGGACAAGCAAAAAAACGCTTTCCAGCGTGAAAAACTATCGTAAACAGTATTAAATTTTACCAATATAAACACTGATGCTACATTTATACTGAACAGTTGACAAACTTGATTGAATAGGCTACAATTAGCTCGCAAACAATACCTGCAGCTGTTGTATTTATTCCAAATGATCAAGAAAGTTCACTTTTCAAAATACCAAAAAATAACTTTTTTCAAAAAAAAACTTATTGAATGTCCATACCAATTCATCAGGAAACACTTGGCCAGTATTATATAGCCTTTTCTTGCACATATCTTGACAACTGATTGAAAACAATACAGGAATGAACAGGTAACAAGAAAACAAAAATTTGCTTCGAAAAAGACAAACAAGCCGTCCCAGATTAAAACCCGGAAGTGAACGTGAGGTGCATACGTCATTTTCACGTCCTTTTGACGTCCGCGTCTTGTTATCTAAAACCGTCTAATATATCCCCATGTTTCGTACACGCGAATATATTTCTCTTTGATCTTGAGCGCAGTAAAAAACCTGACTTTAACCCTATATTCTGCGCAAAACAGGAAGTAGTAACCAGTTACCACATGAAAACGAGGCCACTGGGTCAAGAATGCAATAAACACTTAAACAGTGCCGAAACAGATCTGGGAAAATGTAGGATCTCGGGAGCTTGAGAAACATTCGCATGGCTTAAAGCTGCCAGTAATACGAGCAACAAAATTGCTGCAACTTGTAACAAAATCTGATTTCAACGCATGTTAAGTAGAAATGTAGCCCGCGTGCAGGCCCAAGGGAACTGATAGTGGGCCTGCAAGCAATGCCCGGTATTTTGTACTTTCCGCGTTCGCCCACGAACGCGGCATTCTGATTGGCTGTTTGCTGTTGGATTCTATAATTAGGTCAGTGATTCATCACAAAGGCTCTCGATAAGCTCAAAATTCGAAAATTGATCACTTTTTTCGATTATAAATGGAACAAGAACAGATTGTTTATTGTTTACTTGAAGGAAGAGATGTTTTTGCCGTTATGCCAATGGGGATTGCTTGTCGTGAGGTGTTGGAATAGCAACATTACGACTGGGGTAAACTATAGTAACCTTTACTTGAGTTTCATTAATTTCAGACTTGATACGTTATATGTTCCTCAAGAAAATTATCTTTTGGTTGATGTTGAGATGCAGTTGCATGTAAGCCTATTCGAAACACTTTGCGATTTACAAGGCTTCGCTGAGAGAGCGAAACAGAAGACGGTATTAAATTGCCGTTTGAAACGAAACGATCTGGACTCTGAACGCTCTCTTCTTTTGTAGAGTTCTTTACCAAATGAAATAACTGAAATAAATTTCGTACTTTCCGCCGCCAACAAGAATTGCACACACGATCTGATAAGTGAGACAATTTATTTATAACAATGCCAATGGCGACAGCGAAGCACACATAATATAAATGCTAATGTGGTTGCACGACTTCCCTCACGATTTGAAGTTTGAGACTGGTTTTCTGTTGAAATTCGTCCTAATTTGCCTGTTCCGATTTTAGTTGAAAATGAGCACTTGCAAATTTGGCAATTACTGACTGCGTTGCTTGCTTTTTTGGAGTTAAAACGCTGCCATTTACACATTGTTTATGTTCTGAATAAGCAGAGAAAACCCCGCAACATTTTAATGCGAGTTTGTTTGTTAATATTTGGGTGCTGTCATTGGTTCTTTTTTGACAATTGACGCGCGAATGGGGCGTGTTATGAAAAGGGGCGTTTTACAAAATACCGGGCCTTGCTTGCAGGCCCACTATCAGTTCCCTTGGGCCTGCACGCGGGCTGGTACAAATGTTGACACATGTTGCCTCGTGATTTGTAATGTATGTATAAACTTTGCAATTAACATGCGTAGAAATCAGATTTTGTTGCAAGTTGCAGCAGTTTTGTTGCTTGTATTACTCCACCTTAATTAATGAAGAAGGTTGATGAATATTTTCAATTGCAATTATTCACACATATACCTAATACGAGAATCTTAACATAAATACAGTTCGACTGTCGTATATATTATAGAATATAGAATATAGTTTATTGTTGCATACACAAATGGCATATGTAGTATGCAATCAATTAAGTTTCCATTGTTGTTATACGTTCGAGGAACATTTGAAAATCGAGGAACGATATACACTTTTTGCAGGACTGACTGTGAGCACGATATTTTGTAAGACGTCAGTTAGTACAACTTCCAAATTACTGCTTCGTCGTTAGTTAACTAGCTTCAAAGCTTAGTGAGATTTCGGTCGAAAAATACTGGAAAATATTACTATTGTGACATTGTCTATACAGGGTGTATCAAAATAAACGCAATTCATCGTTTGTGCTTAATAACTTTCGAAATACTATTTCCAGTTAAACGCTTTTAGGCTTACTTCAAAGCCTGTTCTTTTCTCTTTCAAACAAACTACTATTCTTGTGTCCAATGCTAGTAATAATTGCACAGGAAAAGATTTAGTAAAACCTATCATTTTTAGTTGCTGTTTAATTATGCAAGTTTACTATGTTATTGTTTAGTCGGTTTAAATGTTAGAATTTTCTTCTTTAAACTGTAATGTTGTCGTCAATACATCTGGAAAACCACGTAAGAACAAATTCAAAGTATTTTAAAAGAGACCAGGTTGTTTGAAAATCCTAAACGAATGCTAAAAATCATAGAATCAAAACATTCTGGTGTCTGAGCCAGAGTGTCATCGAATTACGATGTAATGTAAACAGAAATTATAGCAAGCTGATGTCAGTCAGCTTAGATGGTCCAAACCAAAATTATATCGCATTTGAAGTTTCAAACTGTGTTAAAAAAATTGGAAGAAAAGCCGTAATTATACTTATTGTTACAATCCATTTATTAAAATGCAACATGTTTTTGTTTTAATGAAAAAACCCAGTTATTTTCATGAGAACGATTTGTTATTCCATCTCAATTTTTCTAATCTCCAATCGCAATAACGTAAAGTATTATTACCCGCGAACCAATGAGTCCAATTTAAGAAACAACCCACTGTTAGAAAGCTGAATGGCTACGCTTTAAAATGAATGTAAACTTTAACGTTTTCGTCTATTATTTGTTTAGCAATTTACATTTCAGTCGAGGATTGCGCTTTTTTTGATACACCCTGTAGTATTATTTATGTATTAATCAGTTTATTAACCTGTTGAAATTTAGATCGTTACACGACGAACATGACAACAGAGGATCATTTGCCTACGTCAAAGATGGATCGTTACACGACGAACATGACAACAGAGGATTATTTGCCTACGTCAAAGATGGATCGTTACACGACGAACATGACAACAGAGGATCATTTGCCTACGTCAAAGATGGAAAAGAGTGTCAGTATATTCTCCAACAGACTGGTGTTAATTGCTGTTATTACAGGAGGTGTTTTACTTCAGTTAGTAGTTGTTGGAATCGTGGTCTATTGTTGTTATGGGAGAAAGTACTTCAAATCCAGATCTCTCGTACAATGTGAAAATGCGGTGAGATACAACTGTAATGATCCGGAAACGGTAGAACGTGTGTAGTTGAAGGCTTTTTGTAGATGGGAACAATATAGCTACAATTTCCATCTACAAAAAACCGTTCAACCGTAAACCTCCGACTATAAGCCCTGGGCTTATATTCTTTCGTAAGCGATTTTTGATGGGCTTATACAAGGGTGGGCTTATATACGGGGGGGGGGGCTCATACATGGACGATCTTTTGTGTTAGTGTAATAGTGATAAACAAGTGTAGTAATATTGATAAACAAGTGTTAAGCGTAGTAACAATAGCGATTAATAATGGTATAATATTGATAAACAATAGTGATAAACAAGTGGGCTTATATTCGGCTGGGCTTTTATTTGGGGGGGGGGGGGCTTATATTTGG